ACTATGGGGTACAGTTTCCTAGGGTTTCCTACTTGTACCCAACTTTCTGCTAGTTCATTCCATTCCTCAATTCTCACAACGGGTCCGCGAGGGGTGGCGACGGGGCCGCTAAGGGTCGCGCGAGGGGCACGCCATGGGGCGTGAAGCACACAGAGTAGCAGCGGAAGCAGTTAGGTGGGCCCACAGGCCAGGAGTGTCGATGCTCTGATAGCATGTGAAGAATGAAGAATCAGAAGGGAGGGTTTGTACTAGCAGTAGTTGGCATACATATAGGAAACCCTAGTTGGGTTGTAGTCGCTATATAGTACCCCACTACAGGCTAGACAATAATAACTTTCTCATAAGAAACCCCAAGTTGGGCTGTACTCGCTATAGAGTACCCCACTGCAGGCTAGACAAATATAGCATTCTGACACATCCCCATAGCCAAAGTGGGGTGTAATCAGCACAAGAAGCATGCATAGCAATAGTTCACAATGAAAAGCAAAGCTAGTGTCTATCACGGAGGGCAAGTGAGGAGGAGGAGAGACTGTGGGGGCGAGGAGATGGGAGGCGACTGCTGAAGCTGCAGACACACAGGAGCTGCTGGCTTAGTGGCTACCGAAGCAAAGGCCCGGACTACAGGTGTAACTGGCTCCACGGAGATTGTAGCCTCCTTACTGGAGCAACTGACCCATAGGCGACTGGCGACTACCGGAGATTGTAGCCTCCAAACTACAGGCACTGCTGACGACGCGACGGCTGCCTCCACTCAACCTCCCCCAGCTGCCCTACGCCCCTATCACACACCCCCTGCTGCATCCCTAGCTCCACTCCCACGTCACCCCCCTAGCACCACTCCTTCGGCTCCCACACACCCACCCCCCTGAGCGGCAGCTGCAGCAGTGGGAGACTGAGGAGGAGGAGGAATAGGGGATGGCGCACACAACCGGCACCCCCACAACCGCCACCCCCACACTCCCCACCCCCTAACCCTAAAACGGGTGGCACGGGGTAGGAGCGCAGGGGACGGCGAGGAAGACGGCGCGCGGCCCCCAGGGTGCCACCACGGGGCAGCGAGGGGCCGCGCGCGGCTCCCCTGGGCGCCGCGACGAGGCAGAGGGGGGGTCGCGCACGGTTCCAGGGGTGGCGCGTGGGTCCCCGGGGGCGACGCGAGGGTCGACGGGGCTGGCGCGCGGGTCCCTTGAGGCGACGCAAGGGTCGACGGGGTGCGGCGCGCAGGTCCAGCGCGGCCGGCGCACTAGGAAGAAAAGGGGCCGCGCGCCCCGGGGCCCGCGCCAGAGAGTAAACCGCAGCGCGCCTACGTCGCACGCCACGGGGCGTACGACAGATGGAGTAGTAGCGGAAGCAGGTTGGTGGGCCCATAGGCCAAGGAAGGACAAGCTCTGATAGCATGTGAAATAATGAGCAGAAAGTTTAGAAGCAGAAAGTGGAGTTGCACTAGCAAGCAGTTGAGTACATATAGGAAACATTAAGTTGGGTTGTTCTCGCTATTGAGTACCCCACTGCAGGCTAGACAAATACAGCATTCTGACAACAGCCACACCTCAACCTACGACAAATTCGCTGGCTCGATTTTCTCGAGTCCAACTTTCACTACACGGTCACTTACAAAAAAGGAGCCTCGAACATCGCCGATGCACTGACCCACCCCACTGCCCAGATCCACGCAATACTACTCGCCCAGACAAGCCCACTACTGACAGGCCTATTTACCCACGGGTACCAAACGGATCCATTCTTCATAGGAGGAAATTCGCAACAGTTCGCAGCAGCAAGGGGAGTCTATTACGTAAAAGTCGGGACTGACCGCATTTGGGTGCATGGGTATACACTGCTACAGGAACTACTGTTACAGGAGGCACGCGACGGAGTTACCTCGGGGCATTTCGGAGTAGAAAAGACACGGCACCAACTGCAGCGGTATCATTACTGGCCCAAAATGTTGACTGACATACAGCGACACGTGGCATCGTGTCCCACTTGCCAGCTCATGAAGTCATCAAGGCAGCGGCCGGCATGACAGTTGCAGCCAATACCACCCCCAGAGTGTGCTTGGCAGCTAGTGACGATGGATTTCGTCACGGGGTTACCAGCCGGGGCGAGTGGGAATGACGCGATCCTGGTCGTCGTCGATCGACTAACAAAAATGGCACATTTCGCAGCCTGCAAGAAATCGATCACAGCCGAAGAAACAGCCTGCCTCTTCATCGCCACCATCGTACGCCTGCACGAGATACGAGCAGCAATCATCAGCGACCGAGACACGAAATTCACCAGCAACTTCTGGCGAAACCTGTGGCAGCAGTTTGGCACGTGACTACAGTCAGCTCTTCTTACCACCCCGAAACCGACGGACAGACAGAACTGACAAATCAGACTATGGAACAACTCATCCGAGCCACCTGCGACAACCCGACCACTTGGGAACAGCAGCTGCCACTCGTCAAGTTCGCGTACAACAATTTGCCTTCCGCCACGACCCAACAGTCACCGTTTTACTTGAACTACGGACAAGACCCAATAGTACCTATGACCCCTAATCACGACAACCCAGTCCCACGAGCACAACAGTTCGCCGAAATATTACAAGTAGCACGGACCCAGGCAGCAGACGCAACGCCGACCGCCACCGCTGACCTGTCACTTACCAGCCCGACGACCTAGTTTTACTTGACACCTAGAACCTCCGCCTGCCCATCACCCCAAAATTCCGTCCCCGATACTGTGGACCATTTCGTATCAGCCACATGATCACACCCGTCACCGCCCACCTTCTCCTCCCCGCTGATTGGTACGTCAGCCCCTCGTTCCACGTCAGCCTGCTTCGCCCCTACGTCGTGTCCACAAGCCAACTCCCACAAAAACGCCCAGCCAGCGTGACACGACCGCCGACTGAACCAATCATCACCCCCGATAAAATTCTGAGTCACAGAGTTTGTGATCCTCGAGGAGCCCGAAGGATCGAGTTCCTGATCCGCTGGAAAGACCATACACCCACCGAAGACTGGGTTCCCCTGGATAGAATCGAAAACCACCCCATCGTCACCAAGTATCTGCGCAGCCGAAACTTCAGGGATGTACACGCACTTTCGTAAGGAGGACCTCCTTTAAGGGGGGGATAGTGTAAGGAAAAATCATTTTCCTTACTTCATGTCCCCGCTCAGCGCGTACATCATTGTAGCACCACAGTCAGCACCGTTACCACTCGCAACTCTCGCATCGACAATCCTCCCGCCACCTTCGCACGTCGCACCCCGACATCACGGCTCGGCGGGTAACCCGCGCTCCGGGCCTCCGCTTCGACACTTTTTCCAACCTCAGTCCCAGGCCCGTCACGCGACAACCACAGTCCATTACCGTTACCACTGTAGTTTCGCTATATATTCTTCGCTCATGCCTTCGCTCATTTGTACTTTTGCTTCGATAGTGCAATTCTCTCTCGCTCGCTCAAATTGCACTTGGTAAATCGTTGGAGGTTAGCTGCAGAGTCGGTTTATTGTATAGTGCCCAACCAAGTTCTAAGACAGACGGCCTTGTTTTTAATGAGGTTGCCTTTAACGAGAGTCTCTCGTGCAGTGATCGCGTTTGTTCACAAGCTAGCCGAGAACTAGCAGCCAGTAGGGGAACTGAAGACTGACCAGAGCTGACTTACAGCCAGAAGAACCAGTCTCGAGGGCCTGAGAGAGAAACAAATAAGGGACTGCGGTGCGGCACGCATTGGATCCGAGGACGACTCTCACACAAGCTGACAAGTTTCCTGCCAAAGCGTCTGATTTTTTATGCACTCGTTAAACAGTGCCGTTTACTTCGTCAGCTCCCCAGCAAAATCCGTGTCAGTATCTGCGGCCGCAAGTAGGATTAGTACTTCGCGAATTATTCATCTCTAGAGCCGAAAAATTCGCACCGAGCCCCAGTCAGGATTAGCGGAGCATATGCTGAACACTGATCGCCAATATTCGCTCGTCACCCACTCCAGCGGCACCTGAGCTGCCTTGGGAATACCAGAACGGTCAGAACGGCCAGTTGATCTTTGGTAGACATGTGACCAACTCGATTCGGGCAACGCTGACGTGACCTGACAGAATCCGACGTCATCGGACGTGGTACTGACGTGGTCTGGCGGGTGCTGACGTCGTTTGACCCAGGACGAGCTTTATACTGACAGGAGATTGCGAGCGATGGATCCCGTTGTCATGGATTGCGGGTCAGGCACGTTCAAGGCTGGCTACGCCAACCCCGATGCGGACCCCCCTGTGGTGAGTACCTGCTGCATCTTGAGGGGCATGATTTGACTGGAGATAGAGAACAATGGATTTCGATCATCCCGTTGCCATGGATTGCGGGTCAGGCACGCTCAAGGCTGGCTACGCCAACCCCGACGCATGGAAAATAAAAAATCACAGGTGTCGACAATTTTGATGCCAATCCTCCTGTGGTGAGTGCGTCTTGAGGATTGAGGCCGGAGCTAGTGGCTCGAATGGGCATGGATTTCGAGTTTGGCACGTTTCAAGGGCTGCCTACGCTACGCAACCCTGACGTTGACCCCCCTGTGGTGAGCGTGAGCGCATCTTGAGGATTGCAGTCGAAACGAATGGCTCGAATGGGCTGGCTGGGCATGATTTGCGGGTCACGTCACACGCGTTCAAGGGCTGCCTACGCTACGTCAACTCTGACATGACACCGATCCCCCTGCTGTGGTGAGTGCAGCATCTTGGTACATGATTTCAATCCAGAAAGGATCTGACTTGCCAACCCTAATGTCGAACCCCTTGTGGTGAGTGCACCTTGAGAGCTGAAACTGAACAATTTGAATTGCAATGCAACTCAGCAGGGTTGATGGTAATTGTGGGTCAGGGACGTGCCTTTCAGGCTGGATGGGTTAATTCTAAAAGCTCTCTTGTGTGTCTCTATGAACCTCTATGTGCCTTTGTATGCCTCTGTATGCCTCTCTATGCTTCTGTGCGCCCTTGTATGCCTCTGCGTATCTCTATCTATCTATGCTTCAGATAATCCCAAATCGCTTCGTGGAAGCACCAGGAGAGCGCCCAGCCAGTAACGGGGCCAGCATTAACGAATCCGGGGCAGCAGCAGGGCGCGTGGTGGGGGGCGTGGAGCGAGGGCGGGTAGTAGACTGGGGGGTGATGGAGGATGCATGGCGATACATGCTGTACGAACAGATGGGGTGGGAGGAGGGCGGTGAAGGGGCCGTGCTGCTGTGCGAGCCCATTCTTACCCCAAGAGTGAGTTTTGCTTGTGTATGGGATATTGTAACATTAGGGTTAGCACATTCGAGGCACTGGCAGGGTTGTGGGTAGGTGGGGGGGTGGAGCTAGGGTGTGTGAGGGGGGGTTGGAGCGAAGGCGAGTGGTGGTGGGCGCGGAGCAAGGGAGGGTAGTGGGTGGGTGGCGTGAGGGGATGGAATGGAACGTTGCGAGTGGTGGTGGGTGGGCGTGGAGCAGGGGCGGGTGGTGGAGTGGGGGGTGATGGAGGATGCATGGCGATTCATGCTGTATGAACAGATGGGGTGGGAGGAGGGCGGTGAAGGGGACGTGCTGCTGCGCGGGCCCTTTCTCACTTTCGGAGTGATTCATTCTTTTGTGTGGGGTTGACTTTTGAGTCGACTCAAAAGTCAACTCGTGTTGCTCTCTCAGTCCATTCTCACTCCCGGAGTGAATCGCTCTTGTGTGTGGGATATAGTTCTCAGGCATCTCGAAACGCATTCCAAGAGGCGTCTCGCCTCACCACTCGCCTTTCTCACAACAAGGGCGGGTCACACTTCCGAGTGAGATGTTTTCCCCTTCAGCTGCCTCAAAAGTCCCTCTTTTCGCTCCGTTGTCCTTCCTCCTCCATCTCTTTCTCTCCCCCCCTCTCCTCTCCTCTCTCCCGCTTGGCCGTTCCCCTCCTCTTTCCCCCTACTTGTGTCTCTCGTCCTGTCCCACATCATTCTCACATATACTTCCTCCCTCCCATTCTCGCCTGCATCAGGCCGACAGGGAGCAAGCAGCAGCACACGCCCATTCTCTTTTAAGGCTTCTTTGCAGAGCCATCCTCCTCCCGAGGTGACTTTTGAGTCGAGCAAGCAGAGCAAAATTCACCTTCTTTGCAGAGCCATCCTCCTCCCGAGGTGACTTTTGAGTCGAGCAAGCAGAGCAAAAGTCACCTTCTTTGCAGAGCCATCCTCCTCCCGAGGTGACTTTTGAGTCGAGCAAGCAGAGCAAAAGTCACCTTCTTTGCAGAGCCATCCTCCTCCCGAGGTGACTTTTGAGTCGAGCAAGCAGAGCAAAAGTCACCTTCTTTGCAGAGCCATCCTCCTCCCGTTCCTTTCCCGCTCCTTTCCAACCGCTTTTCATTCTCTCCTTCCAGGCGGACGGGGAGCAAGCAGTGCAGCGCAGATCCTTTTTGAGTTGTTCAGCTGGTCGGGCCTCTTTACAGCAGAGCAGAGCAGCCATCGATTTTCCCCAGTCCCCTTCCTCCGCACCCTTCTCTCCCATTTTCTCTCACTCCCTCTCCTGTCAGGCGGACAGGGAGCAAGCAGCGCAGGTCCTCTTTGAGTCCTTCAGCTGTTCGGGTTTCTTTGCAGCGGAGCAGCCAGTGCTGGCACTCTATGCGCTCGGCCGCCTCTCCGGCTGCTGTGTGGACCTAGGCCATGGCAAAACAGGTCAGAGGAGATAAATTTTAAGTGGCGATTGGCCTTGTAATGGTGATGACTGACTTAAAACGAGTTTCTTTGCAAAGGAGCAGCCAGTGCTGGCGCTCTATGCCCTCGGCCGCCTCTCCGGCTGCTGTGTCGACCTGGGCCATGGCAAGACAGGTCAGCAGGGATGCAGGGATGCCTTATAACGTAGATCACTTCCGTAGGGCCCTCTAGGCCCTTGGGCGCCCCTCAGGCTGCTGCGCGAGGAGCCCTCCTATGCCATGGGCGAACAGGTCAGAGGAGACGCCTTATAACGGGGAAGATTGACCTTATAACGGGGGTGACTGACTTTAAAGAGGTTGTTGGTACAGCAGAGCAGCCAGTGCTGGCGCTCTATGCTCTCGGCCGCCTCTCAGGCTGCTGTGTCGACCTGGGCCAGGGAAAAACATGTCAGAGGGGGATGATGCAGGGCCTTATAACGGGGATGAATGCCTTGTGACGAGATCACTGCGTTGTAACGCTTCAAAATTGGGAATTTCCTCCTCGTTTTTCTCCCTTCTTGCTTCTCTTTTTTTTCCTTCCTTTCTTAGCCTCACCGTTCTCTTTCCCTTTCCACACTACGCTTTATCGGATTCTTTTTCCTGTTCCCCCCCCTTCTTGTTCCATGCTTTCATTTTCTCCCACCTCTCCAGATTTCTCTGTCGTGCAGGAAGGGGCGTTGATCCCCTCCTCTGCTCGCCGTTGGCCAGTTGGCGGCTGCGATCTTTCGGAGCGAATCCAACGGCTAGTATTTGACGAGAGGCAGAGTGGGGGGGGAGCTGGCCAAGGAGGGGAAGTGGAGAGGGATACACTGACACGTGGCAGTCTCTCATTGGATGCTGCAACGTTGGAAAGGCTGAAGGAGGAAGCTTGTGAGGTGGCTTTGGACGAGAAAAGTTTTGCAGCTGCCCGGGCTGCGGACGAGAGGAAGGAATTTGTGCTGCCCGATGGGCAGGTCAGTTCATCTTATTTGTGGACAGGGCTATGTTCTTTTTGGAGCGAAGTTTAAGCATTGGAGAAACTCTTACTGAACTTCCTGGTGTTACTGAAGTCCAACCCCCCACCCATCCTCCCACCCATCCTCCCACCCATCCTCCCACCCATCCCCCCACCCATCCTCCCACCCATCCTACAACCCATCCCTCCTCACACCTCACCTCTCATCCACTCGCCTCGCTCACTCTGATCCCTCCCGTATTTATCCCCTCCCGTATTTTTCCCCTCCTTACATCTTGGCCCCTCTCTTCCCCCTCAGTCCCCCTCTGCTCCGCCTCGTGGGCCCCTCTTTGCCCCCCATTCAGCACATCCTCCTTTGCAGTAAAAGACTGAGTACTGCAATGGTTCTCATCCACACAGTTACCCCATTCCGCCCATGGACTTCTCATATTCCCACCCCTCCCGTTCCCCATTGCAGCGCATCTCTCTCGGCAGTGAACGATTCGAAGTTGCAGAGGCTCTCTTCCGACCCTCCCTCCTCACCCACAACTCGCTTCTTTGACTCGCCACATGCCGTTCATTCTTGGCCCCCTTCTTCTCAACCTCCCCTTCCATTGCAGCGCATCTCTCTCGGCAGTGAACAACTTGAGGTTGCAGAGGCCCTCTTCAGACCCTCCCTCCTCGCCCACAACTCGCTTCTTTGACTCGCCACATGCCGTTCATTCTTGGCCCCCTTCTTCTCAACCTCCCCTCCCATTGCAGCGCATCTCTCTCGGCAGTGAACGACTTGAGGTTGCAGAGGCCCTCTTCAGACCCTCCCTCCTCGCCCACAACTCACTTCTCTCACCGCCCTCCCTCGAGGCCTCCCCATTGGCTGGTCCCGACTCGGCTGGCATCGTTCGGCAGCTTCTGAGTGTGGTGTTCGATGCAGCAGGGCTAGGAGGGGGAGGCGGAGGAGGAGGGGTAGGGGGAGGGATGGGGGGTGTGGGCGGGGGAGGAGGGCTCGGGGGAGGAGGGATGGGGGTGGAAGGGGGAAAGCAGCGGGCAGCCTTGGAGTCCATTGCGGTGGTGGGGGGAGGGTCGTGCCTCAAGGGGTTGGTGGATCGGTTTCAGAGTGACGTGCAGACGGCAGTGTCTCCCTCCCTGCAACCCACCGTCGTGCGGGTGAGTGGGGTGAGAGGGGTTAGTGGGATGAGCAGCTGGGCGGTTGGGCGGTTGTGCAGTGGGGTGAGGGGAGGGTGAGGTGAGGGTGAGGGGAGGGTGAGGGGAGGGTGAGGGGCTTTGAGTGGGTGGGGGCGTGGGTTGTGTGAGTGGTTTGGTGAGTGGGTGGTGAGTGGTTGGGAGTGGGTGGTTGAGTTGAGTGAGAATTGAGTGGGTTTTAGTGGGGTATGGAGAGGTAATATCTATCTGCATTGTGAAGTGCATGAAGGCACTGTCTCAACTGGTTTGTAAAGGAAGGTGTGTGGGGGTGACTTTTGAGTCAACTCAAAAGGCACCTTGTGCGACAGATCGGTGCAGCACATGTGTTTGTCACCACAGGAGCCATCATCTATATAACCTTTTATGGAAACCACGTGTCAGTCCAGCTTCGGTTCTCAACTTTATCAGCTCTCCTACTTCTTCTCAACTTCTTTCTTTTCTCGGGATTATAATTTTGTCCCGCTGTAACTCTTTGCCACTCGAAACTTTCTTCTCACAACCTCTTCCCCCTACGTTAACCTGAACCTTTAGGCACCTGACTACATGCCGGACAACACCGCCCGCTACGCCTCGTGGTACGGAGGGGCCATAGTGGCGCGCATTGTGTTCTCTCAGAATCAGCACGTCACTCGCGCTGAGTACAACGAGAGGGGCCCTGCTGCTGTGCACCGCAAGAGCATGTAGTGAGTCTGCGAGTCGACTAGAAAGCCTCATGGTATGGAGGGGCCATAGTGGTGCGCATTGTGTTCTCGCAGAACCAGCATCTCACTCGCGCAGAGTACAATGAGAGGGGGCCTGCTGCTGTGCACCGCAAGAGCATGTGATTGTGCTGATGTGGCTGTAAATGATTTGCTATGCTTTGTGGTACGAAGGGGCCATAGTGACTCGCATTGTCTTCTCTCAGAATCAGCATGTTACATGGGTTGAATTCAATGAGAGGGGGCATTCCGCTGTGCACCGCAAAAGCATATGATTGTATCATTGTGCTGAGGTGATAGTATGGTAAATGGCCTGCGCACCGCAAAAGATGAAATAGTAAATGATTCCTGTACCGTGTAAAGGCGTGCGATCATGCTTTTGTGTTGGTAACAAATCCCCCACTGCAAAAGCATGTGGATGTGCATAGTAGTAGGTTGTTTTTCTCGCATTAATCCTGCATTTCGTTATGGTCATTCATGTCTCAAAGCGGGGCAGTCTCCAGCGGAGATGGAGCGGACCCATCCTCCTACTAACCCGTTGTATGCATCCCTCGTTACAAGGTAGCGTACACGATTAGAGGCCATGAATTTCTTTTCCACAAGGGGCCATGTTGTCGAGAGCTCAAAATTCACGAACCCTATCTAACCGTATCATACCGTAAATAACAGGCTCTGTCAGACAGAGCATCGTACCCAACCGCGTTCGGGCGACGCCTCGCAGAGTCTTGGAAGCAACTCGTGACAAGTTCAAGCAGCACACACCGCCACTAGTCTGTAGGGTGAGAGAGGTTGGTCTGGTCTCCCAGTATTCCGAGCAGTTTCTGCTCAACTAAAAACAGTAAGCAAGATCAAACTTGTGTTTCGACACGGCGCGATGCAATGCCGCCATACTGTTAACTAGGCGAAGTATCGCGATTCGAAGCATTCCCTCTAGGTTTATCCGGCGGCGAACACGGATCTCCCTTGTTTCTCTTCCGAAGCCTGGAAAGAGGCTCAGAAAGAAGCGCCGGAGGTTCGGCAGACACGCGAGGTTCCGCCAAACCCCGTCTGATAACGAGCCTGCAGCGCAGGCTCGGCGTAAGTGCCACAGGATGTCCGAAGCTGATAGGATAAATCCAACAAATGCCACCTCTCCCGCAATAGCGTCCCTCCGATCAGATTGTAATGCCGCCTCGATAATCAATCTCAAGGAGATGTCGGCAGATCTACCTCCCTTAGATCCCACCTCAATCCGCGGTTCTGGTCGCGTCGCGAATGCTTCCGCAACTGACGCCGCCGCAAACGCCTCCGCAGACGCAACGAGCCCCGCGACCGACGCCGCCGCCAGTGGCGACGCAGATGGTGCCGCAATCGGCGGCGCCACAGCATCGGAAGGTCCTATCATGGAGCCTGATTCGGACGAGCGCGTGTGGCGCAAGGTGCCGTTGGCGCAAGGAGACTCGGACCCCCATGTGTGGCGCAAGGTGCTGTACCTGCGGCAGCCGTTCGACGACACGCACACGGACCCGCGCACCTTCCTCGCCGACATGCGCACCAACGCCGGCGTCGTCAAGCCGCGCTACTGGTCGCTCGTACGGGACTCCTCCGTGCTCACGCTGCAGGTACGCCTCTCTCTCCGCTCCAGGTACACCATCCCCCTTCCCCCCTTCCCCCCTTCCCCCCTTCCCACTTTCCCCCCTTCCCCGCTTCCCCCCTTCCCCTCCCCCTCCCCCTCCCCCTCCCCCTCCCCCTCCCCCTCCCCCTCCCCCTCCCCCTCCCCCTCCCCCTCCCCCTCCCCCCTCCCCCTCCCCCTCCCCCTCCCCCTCCCATCTCACTCCCCTTACCCCTTACCCCCTTCCCCGTTCCCCCTCCCCCTATTCCTGCGCTCACTTCCTCTCCCTCACGATCGGACGTGTGTTCCACACCACACCTCCTTCCACCCCTTCCTTTCCCCTCGCTCCCACTCTCACATGTTCCTCCTTCCGCCCTGCTCGTCGTCTCTCTCGTCCGTTGCATCCCCTCCCACCCCTCTGTCCCCAAATATTCCTCATCTGCGCCCCTACCCTACGCTGTGCCCCAGTGCCCATGTAGCTTTCAGAACTCTCACCGCCGCAAGTAGCTTTCAGAACTCTCACCGCCTCTCTAACCCGTGCTATTGTCCGCACGGGGACATGTTTCCTCATGCTGTTTCCGTTCGCCATGGTCTGGTCTAGTTTTGAGTCGACTCAAAACTTTCCTCGTGCTGTTTCCGTTCCCCATGGTCTGCTCTCCTCCCAGTTTTCTGTTTCTGTTGTCCTCCCATGTTCCTCCCTCCTCTCCGCCCTGGTCGCCGATCCTGGTCGCCGATCCTGGTCGCCGATCCTGGTCGCCGATCCTGGTCGCCGATCCTGGTCGCCGATCCTGGTCGCCGATCCTGGTTGCCGATCCTGGTCGCCGATCCTGGTCGCCGATCCTGGTCGCCGATCCTGGTCGCCGATCCTGGTCGCCGATCCTGGTCGCCGATCCTGGTTGCCGATCCTGGTCGCCGATCCTGGTCGCCGATCCTGGTCGCCGATCCTGGTCGCCGCCACCCAAGCATGTCTACCCCTTCTTTGACTCGCACCACCTCTCCGCCCGTGCTGTTTTCCTCCTCATCCACCTCACGTATCACACATGTTCATATGCCCCCCAATCCCCCCTTCCCATATGTTTCTCATCTCCGCCCTGGTGGGTCGTAAGTTTTCTTCCCTTCCTTTGACCAGCAACATCGCTCACATATTCGCTTGTTACCCCTCTCCCCCACCCCCTGTCCCCAGATGCTCCTCGTCTCCGCCCTCACGGTCGTCTATGTCTTCCTCGACTCGCATCGCCTCTCCACTCGGACGCTCTTCCTGCTCGATTCACTCGCACATTACACATACCCACTGTCTTCCACCCACACCACCCCCCCTCCTTTCTCGTCTCCCGCCTCCATCCGATTCCCAGACGTTCCTCGTATCAGCCCTAGTCGTCGTCTATTTCTTCCTCGACTTGCATCGCCTCTCCACTCGGACGCTCTTCCTGCGCGATTCACTCTCACATTACACATACCCACTGCCCTCCACCCACACCACCCCCCCTCCTTTCTCGCCTCCCGCCTCCATCCAATTCCCAGATGTTCCTAGTATCCGCTCTGGTGGTCGTCTATTTCTTCCTCGACTCGCACCGTCTCTCTGCCCGCACTCTCTTCCTGCTCGACTCGCTCTCCCTCGCTGCCGGTGTGCTGCTCTCCTCCCTCGCCTCCCTGCACCTGCAGCGCCACACACCAAGGGGAAATGGTCTTCCCATTCTCACATGCTCCTCCCATTTCCCGCCCATCCCTCCTCCCATTTTCAGATGTTCCTCGTATCTGCCCTGATGGTCGTCTATTTCTTCCTGGATTCCCACCGCCTCTCCGCCCGCACTCTCTTCCTGCTCGACTCGCTCTCCCTCGCTGCCGGTGTGCTGCTCTCCTCCCTCGCCTCCCTGCGCTTACAGCGACACAAACGCCTGCGGCAGCACTTGAAGGGGGAGCAGATGAAGCAGCAGCAGCAGCTGAAAGGAGGAATGTTCCCCCCATTCTCACCTGTTCCTCCCATTTCCCTCCCCATTCCTCTCATCCCCAGATGTTCCTCGTATCAGCCCTGCTGGTCGTCTATTTCTTCCTCGACTCGCATCGCCTCTCCGCCCTCGTTCTCTTACCCTGTTCCATTCCACCTCACATAGTGCACATGTTTGTGTCCTCTCCTGCTCCCTCTGTTTCCAGATGTTCCTAGTACCAGCCCTGGTGGTCGTCTATTTCTTCCTCGAATCACACCGTCTCTCCGCCCGAACGCTCTTCCGCCCAGTCCATCACTCACACATGATGCATGCTCTGCACCCCTCCTCCCGTCCCATCTCAGATGTTCCTAGTATCCGCCCTGGTGGTCGTCTATTTCTTCCTCGACTCGCATCGTCTCTCTGCCCGCACGCTCTTCTCGCTCGACTCGCTCTCCTATCACACATACCCTCTACCCCCCCCCCCCGCCCCCCCTCCCACCTCCTTTTCCCTCTCCCTCCTCCCTCCCATTCTCAGATGTTCCTCGTATCAGCCCTGGTGGTCGTCTATTTCTTCCTCGACTCGCACCGCCTCTCTGCCCGCACTCTCTTCCTGCTCGACTCGCTCTCCCTCGCTGCCGGTGTGCTGCTCTCCTCCCTCGCCTCCCTTCGCTTACAGCGACACAAACGCCTGCAGCACCACTTGAAGGGGCAGCAGCAACAGCAGCAGCAGCAACCGCACGCATCTGCACCACAGTCCACCCCTCCTCCCTCCTCCACTCCCCCTTCCCCATCCCTGTCCCTCCCACCTCCCACCCTCCTCGATCTCCTCTCTGCCTCTCGCCTCCCTCGCTTGATAGTCGATTGTTCCATCTTTGTTTTTGGTCTCTACCTCCTCTCCCCCATCCTCCACACTCTCACTCAGTCTATAAGCTCTGACACTGTCGCCTCCTGTACCACCCTCCTCTTCCTCCTACACCTCTTCTTCCACGATTATAACTACTCTACAGCAGCTACACTCTCCTTTTCCGGGAATTTATCGTTAATGTCTGCGATTTACGCATCTGTGCTGCTGGCTTCTCGGCTTAGCACCACTGCGCAAGTATACGCGTTCATGTGGCTGGCACTTAGCGTTTTCAGCCTGCTGCCGTCGTTGCTGCACCACTGGCGGCGCGCTAATCCGCAAACGCACCGCGTGCTTGTATGGGGGATGAAAGCGGTGGCTCTGGCGGTGCTGATGGCGTGGCATAAGGGGTTTGCCGTGGTGGTGGTGGTGGCGGCGGCAGCGGTAACCTACGTGTTCCCGCTTCTCTTTGTGTACATGCACAAGGAAAAGCAGTTCATCAAGGGACCGTGGGATGAAGCCCAACCGGGGACCAGCAGCAGTTGAAAGAGGCATTAACCTTCCTCGGTTCTGCTCTTTGTGTACATGAACAAGGAAAAGCAGTTCATCAAGGGACCCTGGGATGAAGCGCAACCAGGGACAAGCAGCAGCTGATAGAGGCATTAGTCTTCCTTGGTTCTCTTTGTGTACATGCACAAGGAGAAGCAGTTTATTAAAGGACTGTGGGATGAAGCCCCACCAGGGACCAGCAGCAATTGACAGAGGGATCGTTTCATGGAAAAAGCTGCAGCAGCTGAGGTTCTTATCAAGGAGGGGAACAGGCAGCATAGCTTCATTCCTAGGTGCTTCTCTTTGTGTACATGCACAAGGAGAAGCAGTTTATCAAAGGACCGTGGGATGAAGCCCAGCCGGGGACCAGCAGCAGTTGATGGAGGCACTGTTGCATGGAAGCAGCACATTTTGGAGGCACTGAAGGGTCCTCCCATCCATTTGCTCTTTCTTTGTGTTCATGCACAAGGAAAAGCAATTCATTAAAGGCCCCTGGGATGAAGCCCAGTCGGGGACCGGCAGCAGTTGACAATAGGGGTGTGACACAGTGGCATGGAAGCAGAAGCAGCACAGGCGTTAAACTGCATGGGTCCTTTCTTTGACTTTCTCTCTGAACACTTGCATAAGGAGGCTGTTTATTGAAGGTTCAAGGTCCGTTTGTGGGACGCAGTGAGGCCACCAGGGCAAAAAATGTAAATTGCCACATGCTCAACACCGTGCTAGCACATGGTACGAATAAGAATAAAGCCAGCTTTCTTTCATTTCAATGCATGGGAAGAAACATACCGTACGATATATGTAACTTTCACTACACCCCGTTGCTCTTCGCAACCGACTGGCAAAATGCCACTGCATCTGCAGCAGAGAGAAACAGCCACTCGTCACCCAACTCCTCAATAAACCCTGAGAGAGCCAGCTTTCTTAGAACCACTGTGGCTGGATTGGTCAGCACTAGCTGCACCTGGTGGCGATGTAAGAGGTTGAGGAGGTCTTGTAGGGCGTGGATGGCTGTTGTGTCAATGTCGGTTACTGACGTGCAATCCAACACCACATGCTGCCGTGAGGCAGGGAAAGAGGGATGCGAATGGGGAAGAGGCGAGAATAAAAAGTAAGGAGACTAAGATTTTGACTCTAAGGTCATCGCTTGTGTGCCACTTACACGTGTGCCCAAGGGAATTTTGAATGTGGACTGTTGTGTGAGAGTAGCGGTATCCCCACCCGCACTACCCACATCTGTGAGGCATCTAAATGTGAGCCGCCTTTGCGAGGTCTTGAAATCATATCCTTGAATCCACGGCACCACCTTCAGCTCCCCCTGAATCACACCTGCCCCCATGCCCTCATGCCCACATGTCGCATGCCCCCATACCCCCATGCGCTCATGCCCCCATAAAACAAATGCAAAACACACACACACACACTCCCCACTCACCATGATTCTCTTCTTGTCGCCTCGCGCACTCCTCTCCACCGCTCTCAACACCCGCTGCCGCACATAGCTTGCACTGGGGAAGAGCAGCGGTCCATTCACCCTCACCACCCACACCCCCTCCTCCACTTCTGCTTCGGGATACTGCTCCACACTTCCGTACACCCCTGTACCCGTAATGAGCCCCAGGGTCGGCAGCTTTGGGCGAGCAACCTGCACAAAGAACTTCAGCATTGAAACGAGGACGCCTATAAGGAGTCCGATTTCCATGGAGACAAAGAGAATACCCAAGGCGGTTCCTAGAGTGATGAGAAAATCAACTTTGTCGGTTTTAAGGATGAGAGCCATGGCTGTAAAATCCACCAATCCAGCGACAGCAACGATAATGATTGCAGAGAGGGTGGCTGTAGGGAGGTACTGAAACGCGGGCGTGACCGCAACGAGCGTGACTAAAACGAGCACCGACATAATCACGTTGGTCAGCGCGGTTTTCCCGCCGGAATTGTAGTTGACAGCGGACCGCGAGAACGACCCAGTAACCACGTAGGTCGAGGAGAAGGAGCCTCCGATATTCGCCATGCCGAGAGCGATCATCTCGCGGTTACCATCCACCTCGTAACCCTCCAAAGTCGCAAACATTCTAGCGATCGCAGTCGCTTCCGCTAAAGCGATCAGCGCCGCGACAATCCCTATGGAAGCAGCAGCCGCGCAATCAGGGCCCGACAGCTGGAGCTGAGTCAGCGAGCCGAACGAGGCGACGCCAGCTGGCAGGGGCTTGACGGTGGGGATGTTGTAGGGGGGTTTGTTGCCGCCGCCCAGAAGGTAGACGGCGAGGGAGGTGGCGGTGACTGCGAGGATTGGGCCGAGGCAGTTGAGGTAGAAGAGTGGCTTGCCGAGCCTGGGGTGGGGCTTGAAATGGTGTGCCTGCGCATGCATGTGCGGGGACGGGATGGATGGATGGGGAGTATTGAACATGGGAAGAGGGAGTTTTGGTGTTTTGGTGGGCAGTTGAGGTAGAAGATCGGCTTGACGAGCCTAGGGTGGGGCTTGAAATGGTGGGTCTGTGCATGCAGAAGCGAGGAGGAAAGTGGATGAGGGTATCACACACAGAGTGCGAGGAGGGAAAGGGATGGGAGTATTACACACAGAGGGCGAGGAGGGAAAGGGATGGGAGTATCATACACAGAGGGAAAGGAGGGAAAGGGATGGGAGTATCATACACAGAGGGCAAGGAGGGAAGGGGATGGGATGGAATGGGATGGGATGGGATGGGAATGTTGGAAGGCTGCTCAAATAAAAAAGGCGGGGCGTACCAGGAAGCGGAGCGAGAGGAGGAAGAGAAGCACCGCCATGCCAATGACAAATGCACGCCAGTCGAACTGTGCAAGGAGGAGAGGGAGGGAAAGGAATGGGAGCGGAGGGGAGGGGAGGGGAGGGGAGGGGAATGGAGGCACTTGTTATCCTAGCACCAGACTTGACAGACTCACCAAATATCCTAACTCACCAGGTGTGCCAGACTCACCAGGTGTGTTAGACTCACCAGGTGTGCCGGACTCACCAGGTGTGCCCGACTCACCAGGTGTGCCCGACTCACCAGGTGTGCCCGACTCACCAGGTGTGCCCGACTCACCAGGTGTGCCCGACTCACCAGGTGTGCCCGACTCACCAGGTGTGCCTGACTCACCAGGTGTGCCCGACTCACCAGGTGTGTTAGACTCACCAGGTGTGCCCGACTCACCAGGTGTGCCTGACTCACCAGGTGTGCCCGACTCACCAGGTGTGCCCGACTCACCAGGTGTGCCAGACTCACCAGGTGTGTAAGACTCACCAGGTGTGCCGGACTCACCAGGTGTGCCAGACTCACCAGGTGTGCCCGCCTCACCAGGTGTGCCAGACTCACCAGGTGTGTTAGACTCACCAGGTGTGCCCGACTCACCAGGTGTGCCTGACTCACCAGGTGTGCCCGACTCACCAGGTGTGCCCGACTCACCAGGTGTGCCAGACTCACCAGGTGTGTAAGACTCACCAGGTGTGCCGGACTCACCAGGTGTGCCAGACTCACCAGGTGTGCCCGCCTCACCAGGTGTGCCAGACTCACCAGGTGTGTTAGACTCACCAGGTGTGTTAGACTCACCAGGTGTGCTGGACTCACCAGGTGTGCCCGACTCACCAGGTGTGCCGGACTCACCAGGTGTGCCCGACTCACCAGGCGTGCCCGACTCACCAGGCGTGCCCGACTCACCAGGTGTGCCCGACTCACCAGGTGTGCCCGACTCACCAGGTGTGCGGGACTCACCAGGTGTGCGGGACTCACCAGGTGTGCCGGACTCACCAAGTGCGCCTTACTCACCAGGTGTGCCGGACTCACTAGGTGTGCTAGACTCACTAGGTGTGCCAGACTCACTAGGTGTGCCAGACTCACTAGGTGTGCCAGACTCACTAGGTGTGACAAACTCACTAGGTGTGCCAGACTCACCAGGTGTGTTAGACTCACCAGGTGTGCCAGACTCACCAGGTGTGTTAGACTCACCAGGTGTGTTAGACTCACCAGGTGTGTTAGACTCACCAGATACGTGTTGCTGAACACATAGCCCAACACCGACTGCACGTTCGCTTTCGTGGTGAACGTCGCATACCCCAGCAGCCCCTTAAGCTGCTGCAGGCCGATCGTCACCGCCGCTCCCCCCATGAACCCCACAACCACCGGGTGGCACAGCAGATCCACCACAAACCCCAGGCGCAGCAGCCCCATGGCCAGCTGAAACACCCCCGCGAAGAAGGTGGAGGTGAAGGCGAGGCGGAGGTACTGGGAGGGCTGGGACTCGGGGTTGTAATGGGTGGAGAGGAGCTCTCCCATGAGGAGCGAGACGATGGCGACTGGTGCTATGGCCATGTGGCGCGATGTGCCAAATATGGCGTAGACGGCCGGGGGAATGAAGCTGCCGTCTGGATTGAATTGGAAATGGGGGGAAGGGGAGAAGTGGGGAGGGGGGAGGGTGGGGGGTGGAGGGAGGGGGATGGAGATTTGTTAAAGCTAATTTCCAGAAAATGAGAGGAGGGGGGAAGGACACAGGGGCAGAAGAAGAAGAGAAAGAAAAACGGAAAAACAGGAGGATGAATTTGTCGCCTAGTAAAGGCTGGGAATTGGTGAAGAGAAAAGAGGATGCTTTGGAGATGGATAAGAGGGTTTGGGTTTGTGATTTCAGTTTACTTGATCGCAAGGGTGAAGAGTGCAGTGAGAAACGAAACTCGCCTCAGCAGCAGACAAATATGGGGAGGTTAGCGGCGGGGGAGAGCTTTTTTTGAGTCGACTCAAAAGCAAATATGGGGAGGTTAGGGGCAGGGGAGAGGATGAGGGAGTTACATACAGAGGCCGTTGATTGGAGGCACGTGGGCCAGTTGTGCATATCCCAAGTCCTGCAGAGAGGAGAGGAGGGATGGGGGAAGTGGTCAAGGAAAAATATTGATTGGAATTATCATAAGCAAGGGTGGTGACACATTAGTACTAAACTTGTACTAAGAGCCCCCCCGCCAATCTACAACCACCACATTTCTTCACAATTATGACTATCTGACCTAACGCTTAGCGTCTAAAGGGAACAGGTTAGCGGTTAGTGTCTGACAGGCCAAATGGTTAGCGCATGACCAAGCGGTTAGCGGTTAGGGTGACCTGCGAGATTCACAGTGTGTCTGACGACAGACAGTTAATGTGTGACCTGGGGGATGGCAAAGGGCGGGTAGCGTCTAACCAAGGGCCTAGCGGTGAGGGTGAGACATCGAGCGGTTAGCATGTGACCAGGGGGATGGCAAAGGGCGGGTGGTGTCTGACCTGGGTTATGGCGAGGCTAGTAAGGGCGAAGCGGGTTAGCGGTTAGCATCTGGCAGACCAAACAAGCAGCGCGTGGCCAAGCAGTTAGCAGTTAGCCGTCAGCAGTTAGCAGTTAGCCGTTAGCAGTTAGCAATTAGCCGTTAGCAGTTAGCATATAGCGGTTAGCGGTATCTGACCTGGGGGATGGCGAGGCTGGTGATAGTAAAGCCGGCGACCACGTCACCCGGGAGCCACGTCAGCTTGTACTCCGACAGCCACTGCAGGATCGGGAACACGTGGAAGAGCGCGCGCCTGACGCACTCCAGATAAGATCCGCACCCTTCGCTCCGAAATCCACTAAAGGATCCGCTTCGCGATTCGCGCCGGGACTCGCGCGACGGGCCGCCATGGTGGTCTAATAAGTCGTCGATGTCTAGGAGCGACTTGATGGGAGCGACGGCGTCGACGAGCTCGTCTCTAAGGCTCGCAGGTGGGATGACGACTCGCTGATGCGACTCTTGGCGGTGCTGCGAATCTCGATGTTGCGGCTCTTCGAGTTCCAGGCTCTTGGCGTCATCCTTCGCCAGCGTTACAAATTCTGGCAAATTCTCGTGACGAATCGCTCCCATCTCGCAGCAACCACGGTGGCGGCTCCCCGATGCCTCATCCCCAACATGGTCATCCCCGTTAGAAGCCATACCACTGCGACAGGAGCAAGGCGTGACCGTACTACAGCGCGGAAAATGGCCTGGCCGACTGAGCTGTCACCAACTTCAAGTTTTACACAGAATAGAAGCTTGATTAACGCGTTCCAAAAACTGTCCTACCTATCATTAGCAAGTACGACGAAGTCCGTGGCATCGCAACACGTGACGAGATTAATATACACGGAGGTTCTGAGGCCACTGAAGCGAAGGCGACGCGAGGAGGGCGACGGAGCACTGGGCCCGGTATTGATGGAGGGAGAGGAGCGAGGGCACGGGCCGGAATGTGCGGAAGAGATGGGAGACAGCCGACGACGACACAGCGGCGACGATCCCCACGACGACCCGCTGCGCTTCTTTCGACGCGACAAAACCGCGAAATTTTATTTTTACGACAGCGGCCTGTTTGCAAACGATTGGACATGCGGTTTTTCCCTTCTCGCGTCACCTCCGGTGGCTTTCGAGTGGACGAAAAAGGCTCACGAAGGTCAGGGTGACTTATGTGATTGCTGGTGGCCGTCGAAAAGGGTGCCTGGATGAAAAGTTTTAGGCATTATGAATCGCCTCGCAAGTGAATGAAGAAAAGCCCGAAGCCTTTTCCATGGCCGAAAGACAGCCCTGCCTTCCACTGCCGAAATGTATCTGTCGTTTCAGAGTCCTGAAACAACATACTCGTAGTACTTGCATTGCAAGAGTAACTACGACGACTCGAACACAACGACCCCTCGAGGAACGACGATCCTTCGGAAATGCTGAGATGAGAGAATGGTGGTGCTCTGCAGGCACATCACGAGGGCGGGAGAAGGGTGGGAGAAGGGAAATGCCGATGTTGAGTGACTTTTCATGAATACGGAGGCTAGGTAGAAAGTGATACTTGTAGCGACACAAACACGCGGCACATCGGGTAAGGCCCAATAACAGCCCCAGAAATAAAGCGGGAAACAGACCGTGAACCACCCGATTTTCGGCACTTGGCAGATCGGTGGTGTAGCTGGTACGCCACCTCGGGAAATGCTCGAAAACAAACCGAAGAAAAAACTACCCAGACCTCTCCCCCCCCATCCCACCCGTTCCCCACACCTGCTTGTACACGTACCTCTTTTTCGTCTCCCCCCCTTCTCCCTTTTTCTCCCTTGTCCCTTTTTCTCATCTCCCCCCACTTTATCCAGATCTTTTACCCGCAGTTGTTTTCAGCTCAGGTCTCTCATTTCTCACAACCATTTTGCTTCTCGAATCTTGAGTTGGAAAGCCACCGTTGCATAGTAGCTACTCCGAACACTTGTCACAGTCTGGATTTTACTTTCGTATCTTCGTCATCTCCTCTAATCCAACAGGGCAGGCGCTATGCCAAGTGCCGTGCGAAACAGGGACGTGACACATTATTTACCATTCCGAGTCGCTTGTCTTTCTTCCTAGCATAAGTGGCTTCTTGGTCTTCCTCTCTTCATATCCTATCAACTTTCTCTATCACGTTTCTGAATCCCGTCTCCTTAGCTCAGCTCTCGTCCGCAACTATCCTCAGTCTCGCTTCAACTCGCGAAGGAGTTTTAACAGACCCAGCAGGAGCCAATGGAGACTCCCACAAACATAGATGCGCTTCCTGACGACATACTCGGTAGAATCTTGTTTTACTACGAGCAGTACGAGCATCCCGTGCCTAGAAAATCGGCCAGAGACGCTTTATGGGACTTGCTTTCCTTGTCTCCGTCTCCACAGTACCTTTCTGCACACCCTTCGAGTGAGAAGGCAAGGTGCCATGACAGGGAGACGCCGTTACCGAAGCTTCTCCCATCTGCGAACATCGACCGCATTCTTCAAATCTCCTCCCTCTGCCGCCGTTGGCGCCGACTTTCCCGCCACTACGTCAACGCGCTTCTTCTCGATAACGACAAACCTTCCGTTTCTAGCCAAACACTGGCGAACAGTTTCAATCTATTCCCAAAACTAACCCATCTCCATCTGAGCGACGGCCGCGTGAGCACTATAAATGACGCGTTCCTCTCTCGCCTCTCCTCGTCATGCCCACAGCTAAAGATTCTTCACATCGGAACCTCAACGGTGGCGGCTGATGAAATTGGAGCGACGAAAGACGACTTCCCAGTCACAGACGCAGGCTTGGATCTGTTTTTCCAACGCTGCTCTCAGCTGGAGCAGCTCTCACTCTACTGCCTCCATCCAGACGTCGAATATCGCGCTTCCTTCTTGCAGCTAGCGCATCTGCACACTTTCCTTCTCCCCAACCTTCAAAACCCCTGAAGCTCCCGAGTTTGCAAACCTCACTTCGCTGACCCACCTTCACTTCCTCTCCAATGAAACGCCAACACATCAGCAACTGGCCAACCTTCCTCGCCTCCCAGGCATCACATCTCTTTCTGTCTCCGACAACATCAACTCTCTCCGTCGGTATGAGGACCCCCTTGATGACCTTTTTGAGATTCCTCCTGAGAACCCCCCTGAGGAACCTCCTAACTTCAATCTCGCGCAGCTGCCTCGTCTCAAATCGTTGAAATTCGATCACCGCTTGCCGTTGACAGCGCCCTGCACCAACATCCAACGGCTGGAAATCCACAGGATGGGTCGACTAGACTGGCTGCGCCTTTCGGGTGACTTTGGACACTTGCTGCCTTCTCTCCGTGACCTCACGTTTCACGGCACGCTAGATTATTCGATCGACTGCCCTGAGGTTTTCCTGCCTTGGACCCTCCCTTCCCTAGCTCTTTTAGAAAGCCTGACCATTTCCAACTGCTCTGGGCTTTCCAGGCTCCCCGAGGGATTCGGGAACTTGTGTGCCTTGCAGACGCTGGTGCTGCGGAACCTGTCTCTCTCAGACCTCCCTCATTCCATCGTTCAGCTTTCAGCCCTGAAAACACTCGTGCTGCACACTCTCTCTCTCTCCCGCCTCCCTGATTCCATCTGTCAATGTACCTCCCTGAAAACACTCGTTCTGTTTCACCAGCCACTCACTTTCCTCCCTGAATCCCTCAGTCAGCTCACCTCCCTAGAGACATTTATTTTGAAAGACTGCGGTTCCATCAGCAAACAGGAATCTTTCCAGCTGCCCGAATCTTTCTGCCGCCTCACTGCACTCCAGACCCTTTGCATCGCGCGCATGCCGCAACTGAGGCTCCCAGCGGATATCGGAAACCTCTTCAATCTGCAGACGGTTTTTCTGGACAGATTGCTGCAGCAGCTGCAGCTGCCGGAAACTTTCACCCGGCTGTCTTCCCTGACATGGCTTGAACTGAGCGGCTGCATGATTCAAGAGCTTCCTGAGACCCTCGGGAATCTGTCTAACCTGCAAGAATTGCGTGTCTATTCTTGCCCAGCCCTTCTGAAGCTTCCAGAGTCCCTAACAAGGCTGTCATGCCTTGAGAATCTTATTGTTGAGAACTGTAAAAGGCTGACTTCCATTCCCAGGAGCTTGGAGAAAATTAGGAAGCTTAAATTGCTTCAGTCAACCGAAGGAAACGGTCATGGCACAGTGGACCTGGCAGATATCTCAGTGCTGCCGAAGTCGAGAAAGCTGACCTTAGCACCTCCTGTTAGAAAGGACCCCCCTCACTGATGTGAGAAGAATGCATGGCTGACTTGTGATCTTTGAATTATGGAGCACGTGGTGTTGGCCTTGTAAGATTCGGAGAAGATCCGTGTGGAGGAGAGAGTCTAGTACGGTATATGGACGACAGTCTTGTTTGGTTTAGCTCAGAGCCAGCCACTGGAGCAAAACTCAAGCGACTCAAGTCAGGGTTTTTGTCAGTAGGCTAAACATTTCCTTATCCACATTCCCTATTGCCACAAATCTTCAAGGTATGCTTCGTCTCTGCTGGGATGCAGATCAGTTCTCTCAATGTCAGTAGGTACCAGCAGGATTAAAATAACTTGGGACAACTACCGGTAGGTCCATCCTCAACCCCAAACCAGAAGCTTCGTCCCGGGCCTGGCGTTTCACTTCCATTGCCTCTCAAACTCTTGATGTCACACCTGCTCCAGTTTCACCTGATTCTGGTACAGCAGCTTCTCTTACAGGTGCTCCGGTTACAGCCGCTCCTGCTACAGCCGTTCCTGCTCCAGCCGACCCCTCTAGATCCGTACTCGTTACAGATGTCCCTGATACAGCTGCGAGCAGTTGGAGCAGCAGCAGGGGTAACAGGTGCAGCTCTAACAATATTCATTCTTCTTTGAGCAATGTTGACATTGTGTGTACAGTCACTAGTACCACAATATGTGATGCCATCAAAGTACCATATGTAACTGTGACAATATGGACATTGATATGGCAAGATGGAAATACTGTATGCACCTCTGTGATGACATGGATACCCGATGTGATGAACAGCAGATGTGATGAACAGCAGATGTGATGAACAGCAGAAGCGATATCATGGACACCAGATGCGATATTTGGGGAACCAGATGTAATAAATTGGAAACCAGATGTGATCATTTGGAAACTATATGTGATATTATGGACACCAAATGTGATGACATGGACACCAGATGTGATATTATGAACACCAGACACGATAATTGGAAAACCAGATGTGGAAAGTTGGAAGCCAGATGTGATAATCTGGAAACCAGATGTGATAATGTGGAAACCAGATGTGATAATTTGGAAACCAGATGTGAAATTTTGGAAATCCAGACGTGATAATTTGAAAACCAGATGTGATATTTGGAAACCATATGTGATAATCTGGAAACCAGATATGCTTTTAATGACCTGATGATAACACTTCACGTCGGTGATGTTGATCTGATCTCACACAAACAGCAGGTCGCCATCCATGGCAACGAGGCTGCTTGTGGCATTCTCCTCATTGCATGCCAGGAGAGCCAAAGCCTGGTTACACGGGTGAAATTGGGGTGAAATTGGGAGACGGCGAGTGGACTGACCACAAGCACGCGAGTAGTGTTTAACAGTTAATTGATCGAATCCCACTTCTAAAAGCTCCATCCTGGGTGGATATCATCATGGCATGATGTTGACATGATGGCAACATGCTGACATCATCATGGCACAATGCTGATATCATCAAAGAGTGCACTCCCATCCCATCATCGCCATGTAATCACATCTCCAAGTTCTTTACGCGCCCTTCCATCGCCACATCGAAACCTATCCTTCCTTCACATGATAACGTCATGATGCATGCATGTGAAGCATGCAAGCATGCACGATGTCATCACATATTCCATATCAACACGTTCTTGACCCAACAGGCACATAAACACACCAAGTCGGCATCCGTCACGACATGCATGATTATTACATCGCTCGCGGGCAATAATGTTGCCATAAAACCAACCAACATGCTGCTGACATCATGCTGACGTCAATGAAAGAGTCAACCATCACGGTTGCCCCCGTACACATGCACCTAGGATACGAATCCTCCACGACTGCATGCTTCACTGGCCACACTTGCATTGCGTTGCATGAGCTCGCTCGCTCACACATGTGCATGTTTTCCCTGCTTGTTTCCAAGCTCTCCCTTGTGCTGCCTGCACATGCCAACTTCACATGCTGATACCACATGCTCTTATCATGCTGACTGACCTCATGCTGACCCACACTCACCTCATCAAAAGGTATTCCACCCATCATATTCGCCCCCAGCCAGCCACAGGCACACCAAGTTCGCATCCTTCCCTTCACACCTCGATGCGTGCACTCACACACACATGTGCGTGCATGCTATTGCATTGACCTCATCAAAAGGGCATTCGACCATTTCATTTTTCCCAGCCACAGAAAACACCAAGTCAACATCCTTCACTTCACACTTGCGTCGTGCTGCATCCATTCCACTCACACACGTGAGTGCATTCCACACAGTGACGTCATGCTGACCTCATCGAAGGGGTTACTCCACCATGACATTCGGCCCCAGCCACAGGCACACCGAGTCAACATTTTTCACATCTGCTCGGGCAAACACCCCATCCGCCAACACGTAGTCCAGACGCACTTGCTGCCAGCTGGAATGAATGGGGAAGAAGAGGAAGTGAAGAAGAGGGGAAAGAGGGAAGATTCACATCCGAGTCAAAAGCACCCTTCACGTCTGCTCGGGCAAACACCCTTCACCCTTCAAACCGTGAGCATAGCAAGGGGAAGAGCAGAGGAAGCAAGGAGAAGGAACACATGATAAAGCACTGGTAACTGCAACGAGCCAAAACCAGAAAGAATCAAACCAGAAAGCAATATTTGTAGTCTTCTGCGTTTGTTACATCCGGAGAGTTATTACTGGAATAACGCCGCGAATAGAAGGCATACGTTTGGAACACTCCAATCATTAAGTACTAATCCAGACCAGACGCCACAGGGTTATACATGAATGCCCAAACGCACCTCCTCCCTACGCATTGATGATAACCAGCCACCTCCTGTAGTAGGTGTCTCTACAGGCCCTCCCTATCGTGTGATTTTTTATTGCGGAAACAGCAATATGCCATCACAGAGCTGCAGGAGGTGCCTCTTGTACGCAATTATATACATTTATACGCCTCACATATGTCATGCGTCGCTGCAGAAACCCTAAACATGGTGTTGCCCATCCTTGATAAGCGCCACTATTATGGCAATGCGTACCTGCAGGTCTTTCCTTGAGTCAGCAACTTGATTTCCAGCAGCTTGTATTGCTGCATCCTGACAGGTGGGGATGGGTGGAGTGCGTTGAGATGGGCGCGGACCAGTGAGAGAAGGAAAATTTAATGATGAAAACTGACTCTATAAAACTGAGTTCCTAGAAACAGATTCGACAACACACGGAACGCAGAAGCAGAAGATGCAAAACCAGGAAAGGAAATGACAACTGAGGCAACAGCAGCAGAGGAGAATAGCGGAGAAGAGCGGGGAAGCGCGGAGGAGGGCGGAGGAGAGCGGAGGAGAGTGGAGGAGAGCGGAGGAGAGCGGAGAAGAGCGGATGAGAGCGGAGGAGAGCGGGGGAGCGCGGAGGAGGGCGGAGAGAGCGGAGAAGAGCGGAGGACGGAGGAGGACTGCGGAGGAGAGCAGATTCTCAGGATCGTAAGCACCTTAGTTGGCAATAGTCTACTTGCTATCGCCTATCGTGTTCTCCACGATCTCCCGAATCCAATGATATGCGCAGCTCTGCTTGAAGTTGTCAATACACACTTCAGCAATTTTCAGAATCTGATTGGTATAATTTCCAGAATGAGTACAAGCAGTTTTATAGTCAGGCAAGACACAAAATGCGATTCGTAACTTCACTTGTTTCCCAAGTAACCGCGTGCGCCTCGTTTCACCCCGAGTCGCACACGCAACCGAGCCGAATTCGGTGAACACTCCTCAAGTCCGAATCTGAAACTTTCTCGAACGCGCCTTGGTCTCCAACCACAATTTCCCCTCGCCAACTTCAATCTCGATGCTTCTTCCACCTTCTCACACATTCCTTCTCGATTTCTCTCTCCCTTCTCACGCCGTAGGCCGATTTCCACCGTTTCACCTAGAATCACCCACGCGCTTCCATTTCGCCGTCATTCCGCCGTCGTAGAGACTTTCGCCATAGGTTCCGTGGTTGGGCGAACCAACCCTAACACAGATGAGGGCGGAGGAGGGCGGAGGACGGCAGAGGAGAGCGGGGGACGGCGGAGGACAGCGGAGGAGGGCGGAGGAGGGCGGAGGGCGGCGGAGGAGAGCGGTCAAGCTGTGAAACAACTAGGGTCAAATCCGAATGTCAATCACGGTGATTGGATGACAGCTGGCGCTTTTTCTGCCCGCCAGAAACGCCTCCACGTCAGCAACGAACTGCACCACGGGAATACCACGTCGGTACCGCTCGCCGTCAGAAGCGGTATTTGCGGCTGTATCCGCGGCGAGCTTATCGATCCCCGTTACTCGCAAGCTCGCGACGCGGATTTTGACTCGTCTAGGGGCTGACTCGCTGTAAAGCAGCGGATCCTTGTTCCGCTATCGAATCCACGCTAAATACTGCCACGCCCTTTTGTTGTTAGACGTTCAAGGGTATCAAGAGGTAATAGCATCGTGAAATCAGTGCCGACGAGCATCGACTTATGGGTGTCTGAACAGGACCAATTGGAAGATGCGTCACTGTGACCTGCCGTGGTATCCCAGGTGAGGAAAGAAAATCACGAAACCCGCTAAACAGACATTCGCTATGAGCACGAAAGTCATTTAGTAAAGTCTAGTATATGCCAGATACCTTGTAAGAAATTATCTTCAAGGGCATCCCTGACTGGAAATATAGGTCATCCCAAAATGGCAATATGTATCACTAATCTAAACCCCTTGTACTTCGCTTCCTTCCTATCACCCTGAGAATCACAAGGAAGATTGGGTTGCCATTGAAACACATTATATTTAGAGAAACCATTGCTAAGATTCATATGCAAACTCAACTTGTGCTACTCCGCAGCAGCAATGGGTATACTAAAGGTGTTAAAGCGAATTACTAAGGCATGAGACAATAGTAACAGGCCAACAACCTGCGTGGATGGTTTTGGAGAAATAATCCACCAATGACAACGACAACAGTCACAATTCCTCATGTAGTTTGCCGCTGCCCGTGCTGCCCGACGCCCCGAAAGTCTTCCGAACCACTTCCTTCTGGTCCTCTGTAAGCGACTTAGGGAAGTCTACAGTGAACTGCACGTATAAGTCTCCCTTTTTGGTGGTGTCGTAAATCGGCATGCCCTCGCCCTTTATTTTCCGCACCTCCCCTGGCCGCGTGACACCCTGCAATGGAGGTGATTATACAAGGGAGGGAGGGTGGGGGTGGGGTGTGAAAAGGGGGAGGAGACCAGGAGTGAACGAGAAAATGAGGGGAGGAAGAGACTGGGGAAGTCTACAGTGAACTGCAGTAGAGGAGTGTGGGAGTAAGGCAGTGAGGGAGTGGAGTGTGTGGCTTTGAGTAGACTCACATGTCTAGCAACACTTCAATTGTCCCAACCCTGAGCACTGGCAGATTTATATATGCCTGGTTACAGTTACACATACCGATTCTGGTAACACTTACAGAGGTGCCGATTTCCACGAGGTGATTGTCGAGGTGAGTGATGGAGTGCTTAAAGCCCACGAGAGCATCCACCTGAAAGCATGGGAGTGGGAGGTGAGTGGAGGAGAAGGCAATACAAGAATAGGAGCAAAGGGTTGTCGAGGTGAGTCACTAGTCCAAGTCAACACACGGCAGGGTAAAGGGAGGGCATGGGAGTGGAGCATAAGGGAATGCAGGAATGGGAGCAAAGGGTTGTCAAGGTGAGTGATGGGGTGGTTGAAGCCCACGAGAGCATCCATCTGCCGGCATGGGATAAAATGATGCGTTTGGGGTTACACGACGGCACAATGGGACACATAGGAGCATGTGGGTGAACATGTCACAAGGTTGGCCTCTACTTCGACAGAAATGTGCGGACACTCTTTACGTCAATATAACATAACAGACTCATAAGTATGTGGCATAGATATAACGTGGCTAAAGGAGCAGTGACGAGATGCAGTGTGAAGACAAACAAGAATGACGGTGCGAGGTTCAGGTAGCAACGTACATGAGAAACAGTAAGGTCCAATTGTTGAAACGTACGAGGGAGATGGTGAGGTTCATGTGGAGGTCGTCCCCTCTCCACTCAAACTGCTTGTGACTTTTGAGGTGCCTTAAAACTTGAAAACAGTAAGTGGTGTGCAAACATACGAGCGAGACAGTGAGGTTCAGGTAGCAACGTACGAGGGAGATGGTGAGGTTCATGTGGAGGTCGTCCCCTCTCCGTTCAAACTGCTTGTGCGGCCGCGTCTTGATCACCAACTGCAAGGCATGATGGGCAAGGCAAGACAGGCAAGAAGGAGAGCATTTATGTTGCTTAAACAGGTGCTCGTCAAGTCTACACGGCTCTCGGCTTCAGAAAGTGGGAAATGACTATCGAGAATTCTAGAAAGTTTCAGTCAAGCAAGTGCCCATTAACCCTACACCGCTTAACCCTCAAAAGGTGGGAAACGGGAGGGCGGTTGAAATCAGAGGAAGGATGAGGAAGTAGGGGAGAGGGAGGGGGGGGTGGTAGGGGTGGGAATGGGGAGGAGAATTGGGAGGAGGAAGAGGTAGAAATACGAGGGACAAGTCGTTAGGGAACAGAAACTGTGGAAGAAAACAGAAAGGAAGACAAAACGGTGGGGGGGAAAATGGAAGTGCGGTGGGGAAGGAATCGGAAGAGCAGGAAGGAAGTGTGCGTGTGTGTGGGGGGCAATGCTAGTGGATGAGTGTGAGTGAGTGAGGGAGGCAGCAGAGGATGGGAGATAGGCACACACCTTGAGGTCACCAGGATCGCCATCCATGACGGGCTCTCCCTCCTCGTAGAAGGTGATCTCCTGCACGCACACAGACAGACAGGTGTTATCGCAGCACACATACATGGGGGGAGGGGAGGGATACATGGGAGAGTGATGGGTGGGCGGGTCGCCATCCATGACGGGCTCTCCCTCCTCATAGAAGGTGACTTCCTGTAAAAGGTAAATGAATATGGGTCGAGTGTGTCATACGATAGAAAGGAAAGAGCAAGTGAGTCACATAGGCGAGAAACGGCTAATGGGATTCCCCAGGTGCCTCCGAAGAAGTTGAATGATGGTGTAGTACAAAATGGAGGAGGCACAATGGTGGAACAAACGAGTAGTGTGTACACATTGGAGAGGGAAATGGGCCGAGTACCAGGGTGAGGCATGGAGGTACGTCTTGATCCGATATTAAACGTGTTTGACAGAACTTTCAGTCGATAACAAGGCTGAAGTCGATAACAAAATGAAGAAAATATGCGACCCTCCTTTGCAGACACCCATCACTATGTCTCACCTCTTCCACTTCATAATTTGTTTCTTGCTCACTAGCTTGCATCTGCTCACCAGCTTGCATCTGCTCGCCTGCTTGCACATGTCTTGCTCAGCTATTTGCACGTTTGGTGCTCATCTGGCCACGTGCCTCTCTTTGTTTCTGATCTTCCCCAATATTTTCCCGCCCTTTTCACCTGCCCGTGTGCATCATCTCACCTGCCCGTCCTTCATGCCCTTCTCAATGTCCACGTCGATGGGCATGCCCTCGCGCTCGTACTTCACGTTCGGGCACTCCTGACATTCCTGTAGGGCGCAGATGGGGTGGAGCATGGTATGAGGAAGGATGACAACAGAGCAATGACACAGGAGGGTTGGACGGCTGTTGAAATTGAAAGCAAGCCATGTACACAACACATTGTTGGGCATGGCGTCGTGAATACCGCCTACTCACTCACCTACCGCATGCAACCGCCCATCTAAGTTATAGAAGCTCCCACACACCCACCTGCTGCGTGAACTGGAACATGCCCGGGGCGACCTGCCTCGTCACCATCCTCCCTCCCTGCATGTGCACTGATGCGCTTCTGTGTGCCTCTGTGCCCGGACCCAGTTGCACACCGATTTTATCCTTAATGCACCTACTCGCCCACCCTACTGTATGTACCCACCCACCCACCTGCTGCGTGAACTGCTGGAACATGCCCGGGGCGATTTGCCTCGTCACCATCCGAGCCTTGTACTTTTGATGATGCGCTTGTTTGGCACCAACCGACTCACCGACACGTGACATCCGCCCAATCATCTGCTCGCCTCTTCACCCACCCGCCCACGCTCTGCCCTATTGTCCTACCTGCTGGGTGAACTGCTGGAACATGCCCGGGGCGATCTGCCTCGTCACCATGCGCGCCTTGCAGTTGCACTTGCGCTTGCCGGGCGCCGATCGCACCACGTTCTTGTCTCGCCACACCTGAGGGGGAGCAAATGGACAGGAACGCGAGGGAAGAAAGGGCGAGAAGGATGGGAATATGAACGTTCGATTAGATTCAGCTCCACCATCGCAAGAAGGGGCGCGCCTTTAAGTCCACTGTGACTGCATCACCCTATTGAGTTTCCAGGTTCAGTGTCAACGTGAACCGTCCCGTCCGCATTCTAATGGGACCCACCTGGAACGACGACGACCTGCTGTTGTACAGGTCTTCCAGCGACGCCTCCAAGTCAACCGTGACTGCTGCATCTCCCTGTTAAGTGTCCAGGTTCAGTGTAAACGTGAACCGTCCCATCCGCATTCTAGCGAAACCCACCTGACACGACCTGTCATTGTACAGGTCTTCCAGCGACGCCTCGAGACCCACACAACCACAGTAACCATCCAGGAGGCATCTTCATATGCGCCATACATCGCACGATCTAATCCAGCCCACCTGGAACGACCTGCCGTTGTAAAGGTCTTCCAGCGACGCCTCCAGGTCCATTGTGACTGCATCTCCCTTCAAAGTCTCCAGATTCATAATAAACCAAGTCACATCCCACCCACCTGAAACAGCGAATACTCTAGTGGGACTCACCTGGAACGACCTGCCATTGTACAGGTCCTCTAGCAACGCCTCCAGGTCCACTGTGACTGTATCTCCCTATTGACTGTCCAGGTTCATTCATAGTAAAACGTGAGACGTGCAAATTCTAGCAGTTTCACCCACCTGAAACGACCTGCCGTTGTACAGGTCCTCTAGCGACGCCTCGAGGTCCACTGTGACTGTGTCGCCCTTTGGGGCCTGCTCTTCCTCCTCCTGCTGCTGCCCGAACCCTCCAAACCCGCCAAAGAATCTGCCATGGGAAAGGAGCATGTCACAGAGCAGAGCTATGAGACAAGATGCCTGCATAAAAACGCCTCTTTAAGCATCGAGCTCTTCCCTTGCAAAAACCCCCTTCCATGCCGGAGTGCATGTTCGGCGAGAAGATGGCCTGATCAAAGGCCCCTAGTCCTCCGGCCTGCTCCTCATGTATGCATAGCAACACCTCCCTTCCTTAACACAATAGCATCGATCTTCCCTGGGCCTGGCAACATTTCCTTCCAAGAAAAACATCTGTCGTTGAACGTACTGTGAGAAGATGTCCTGGCCACCCCCAGCTGCTTGCTGAGCGCTGTGCTGCTTCACGCCCTCCTCGCCGTGCTGGTCGTAGATCCGCCGCTTCTCACCGTCTGAGAGAACCTCATATGCTGGAGCATAGGGAAAGGAAAGGGGAAAATGGAGGGAAACGTGGGAGTTCAGGTGCGGAGAACGAAGGATTCGCTGTGCTGCTTCACGCCCTCCTCGCCGAGCTGGTCGTAGATGCGCCGCTTCTCACCGTCTGAGAGGACCTCGTACGCTGGAGGAATAAGGGGACGATAGGATACGCGAGCAATGAAACGTAAGTGAGTGGGTGGGATGGCGAGCACAAACAGATGATGAGAGCGGGAGAGACTGCGTTGGAAAGAGGTGAAAATGGCGCAGCCAGGGTTCCTGCCTCATGCCAGCAAACTGACGTTACAACAGGTGATGGGAGAAGGAGAGATTGCATCAGAGACAGGGAAAGACTCATCGTAGTTGACTCGACAGACTTCTCGTTAGAGGGATTCCTGACTCGGTCACTCGACCGACTCACCGTTGCCAATCTCCTGGAACCGCTTCTTTGCTTCCTCATCTCCGGGGTTCTTGTCCGGGTGGAACTTGAGCGCTAGCTTGCGGTACGCGCGCTTGATCTGATCCTCGCTGGCCGATCGCGGCACCTGCACGGGATTCAAGGGGACAATTACAACGTGATTGTCATGCTCTCTTCCTCGTTGTCAGCATGACAAAATCGTCACACAAAATCTGTTTGTTTAACGGTTTCGGCAAGCAGAATCAGCTTCGACGAGTAAATGATCGTTCGCGTGACCTTCGTAACCTCATTTAGAAATACTGTGGATTTAGAAGCTGATACATCGCGTTCGATCGCAGTGGAATTCGTGTAGCCTTGCTGTTAAACAATGCAACTACATGCAACCAGCGCACAAGGCACCACCTTTGCAGTTCTCGTAAACCTTACCTGGAGAATATCATAGTAATTGCGACTGCGCCGTCCGGTTCATAGGAGCATCGATCGCGAGATTGGCAACCAAGCGAATCACAATCCACAGGAAGAAACACAAATTGTCGAATAAGAAAACGCGCGACGGCACATGGAGGAGACACATAAGGATGGCATGCCAGGAATCCTCAAATTTAAAATAAGACAAAGATAGCTTTGGAATTGGGGTATTCGTAATGATCGCTTGTGCATTGATGGTAGCGAAAATCAGCAACAGAAGTAGAGTGATCGGCCACCAATGATACGTTTGAGCTGACAGCGCGTGACGAAAGATAGTGGCACACACCTTGCACAACAGCATTGAAGCGCCAGGAGCAAGCAACCTGCTAGCAGCAGCAGTGATCCTCGAAACGAGGCCATTGCGACAGAACGGCGACAGCGGAAGCAGTAGGCCTGAACCCGAAACCCGATTTTCGTAACCTACAGCTGTCACAGTCCCGCTGTTTCACAACCTGTGTCTGCCGAATTTCCAAAAATGTCAGGTCTTGCTTGTGCTGATCGTCCTGGTCAACATATATCGTCAGACCCCTATCTGCCAGGACGCCAGTCAACCTACAATGAGCCTAGAAGGCCAACGGGCGTGACCAAGCTGTAGTTGCACCACACAGTATACGCTGTTGTGATTACTTGCTCAGATCCAAGCATGGAGAGTCAGAGACTCTGTTGCTGAGATCAGAGCTTGGAATCAATTCCAGGAGGTCAATTGACAGAAACAAAAAATTCCCGCGTTTTTTCCAGTTCATCCACCACGATTTGATCCGGTGAGTTGCGGTGCAAATAACGTCATTGCAGTAACCGTACTGTACCGCGTTGAAACCTACTCAATCGAACTGACCGATCAGCGGAGCAAGACGTCCCACAGAAAGAGGTGGTGGCTGCTTTGTGGTGTGGAGCTACCAACAGAAACAGCTCCTTCTGGACGACAGTGAGCTTCTAGAGATTTGCGTGGCAGCGCCACGCGGATTGGCTGATGCGCACCATTATGGTCCGCCATTGGTTGACGCTGTCGGTAGTCGCCATCGTGATTAGAACCCGTAACAATGGATGCTTCAATCTCGCAGCTTCAGTCATGGTTACATCTTTATTTTTTTATGATAATTGCAAATATACACCGAAGGGCAAGTGTACACAAGCAAGAACGGTCGTAACCGTGCGTGAGGAGTCAGAGTGACCTCTTCCTCCAGATAAGGTTCTTTTAAGGCCTGACATTACGTGCCCTCCGCGCCGACCAAAGTGCCGCAAATCCATTTGTCCACTTCAGCTTGGTACCATCTGTTTTTATCCTCCTTAGCATGTCTCACTCCTCCGATGTGTATCGCCGCCTCTGTTTTCGCCACGTCGACCCGAAATGATGGGTGTACAGTTTCACATGCTGCCGGAAAGCCATCTCAATCCTTTGTACGTTGCGCTCCGAACTGTGAGAATAAGCGAACAGGAATGAATGAACTAGCAGTGAAATGAGTACAAGTAGGAAACCCTAGAATTGTGTACCCCCTATAGGCTAACCCACTGTAGCCTACACAAGCAGAACATATATAATGTTTGACACACCCCCATAGGCAAAGTGGGGGAGAGCAAGGGGTCACAAGACCAGTCAAGCAAAGCAAAGCAAGCTCAGGGTGGATCACAAAGTCACCACACAGTCCGAGCACAAGAGCAGGGCCAGAGGCCAGTTCACATGCAGGAGTACAAACATATATATAAAACTAGACAAGCAAGAGCAGGTATATATATATGTCACAGTACAAGTGAAGTCAAGAGGAGAGCAAGTGAGGCAAGACAGGCACAAGACCCAGCTGGGTGCAAAAGCGCTGATGGTCACAAGGCGCGAGTGCCTTGGTGAACACATCAGCAGTGTTGGCCTCAGAGGCCACGTACGCAAGTCGCAACTGACCACGCTGCTGCAGCTCACGAGCAAGGAAGTAGCGGAGAGCAATGTGCTTCGTTCTGTGCTCCAAGCGCTGCTCTCGACACAATGCCAGCATGGCCTTGTTGTCTACGTACAGCACTGGAGGAGAACGAGGTGGCTCTCCAAGGTCAGTCAGCAGGTAGGTGAGCCAGCGAAGCTCCTGTGCAGCCATGGCCCCGGCGTAGATCTCAGCCTCACAACTGGAGCCGAGAACCGAAGACGAGCGAGTAGACCGCCACGAGACAGAGCCGGAACCAAGGCTGAAGGTGTAACCCTGTGACGACCGCTGCGTAGCCTGGTCGTCAGCCCAAGAAGCGTCCGCGTGGCCGGTAAGGGACCACTGGACTCCGCCCTCCAAGCACTAGCCCCATGCCCGACATACTGCACAGGTAGCGCAATACCCTCTTCGCTGCAGCCATGTGCTCCGGTCTGTGTCTCCCAGGAGCAACATAGCGTGCAAGAATGCTCAGAGGGTATGCAAGGTCAGGTCGTGTGCAGGTCATCAGGTACATGAGGCAGCCAACAAGCTCTGCATACGGACCACTCGACTCTACGGACTCATCCGAAGGCAGAGCTGAGAGTGAGTGGCGAGTAGGCAGAGGAGTGGCCTGAGGCGAGGAGTACGTGAAGCCAAAGCGCTGAAGGACCTGCTGCACCATGTGTGACTGAGTCAAGGTAATGGTGCGGCGTGCTCTGTCCCGAGTGATCTGCAAGCCAAGGTAGCTGCGCAGTTCACCCAGGTCTGTGCACGTGTGTCTCTTCAGCAGTTCGGACTTCACGTAGGCGAGTCCAGCAGTGTCCGCTGTGGCAAAGACCAAGTCGTCGACGTACACGAGGATGTAGAACGGCGGCAGTGAAGTGTCGGTGCGCAGAAACAGCGACGGGTCAGCAGTAGAAGGAGCAAACCCAAGAGCCGCAAGCGTAGTCCTCAGTGTGTCGTGCCACTCACGCGGTGCCTGGCGGAGACCGTAGACTGGCCGTCGGAGGCTCCACTGGGTGCCAGGAGGGAAAGTCCCAGTGAAGCCAGGTGGACGGCGCAGCCAGATCTCCTCGTGCAGGCTACCCTGCAGGAACGCAGTGCTGAAGTCGAGAGAGTGAAGCTCGTAGTCGCGCTGAGCAGCTATGTGCAGCAGCACCCGAAGAGTGGTCATCTTCGGGGTGGGAGAGAAGGTCTGAAAGTAGTCAACTCCCTGCCGCTGACTGAAGCCACGAGCAACGTACCGTGCCTTGAAGACAGGTGGAGAGCCCGGCGGCCGCTTCACCCTGAAGATCCACATGCCACTGACGATGTTCGCCCCAGGAGGGGGAACCGCGTCAACGTAGGTGCCTGTGGACTTCCAGGAAGCCATCTCTGCATCCATAGCTGCCTGCCACTGAGAGGAGTAGGGACCCTCTACGGCCTCCGCGTAAGAACGCGGAGTCGGGATGTCTAGTGCATCCGGGTCTCCCTCAGGGGCAAGCAGTACAGACGCGAGATGAGGTGAAGCAGCCGCTAGACACTGTAACTCCTCCTGCCTGTCCTCTAGGACGTCCGTGCCAAGAGCACACTCACCCCCGACGGACGGAGGACAGACACACGCAGACTCAGCAACAAGACTAGCAGCGTAGTCGAGACGACAGCGAGCAGCAAAGTCAACGAGCTCAGCGACTAGAGCAGACGCAGCAGTGGACTCAAAAGAGGGGTCAGTGACGACAGTAGCAAGCAGACGCGTGACAGTAGGACTGGCAGCGCGAAGAGAGTCCGACTCAGGGTCGGCAAGCGCAGGAAGAGAGGACTCAGGAGGAGAAGGCAAGGGGGCACGCAGAGGAGCAGTGGACGGACGCAGAGACATCCGGTGCGTGCCAGGGACAGGAGGAGGACGCTGACGCGAACCGCGACCACTAGCGCGAGCAGCACGAACCGGCTACGCGGGACGAGACGCAGGCTCACGACGCTCAGCAAGACCTCCAGTAGGACCAGTGTAAGGAGAGGGAGCAGGCAGAGGAGAGGAAGGCTCCAACAGTGACTGCGACTGGACAGGCTGTGGACACTCTACCGAAGGAGAAAGACCAAGAACCTGCTGTAGGAGCGGAACGAAGTACGGCCAAGGCCGCGCGGCAGCTCCAGACTCAGCAGGGACAGCACCAGCACCCTCAGCGACAGCACCAGCGCCACCAACACCTCCAGCGGCAGGACCTCCAGCAGCACCAGCAGCAGAACCACCGCCAGGACAGTCAGAGTAGTCTCAGCACCAACACCCTCAGCAGCTCCAGCTCCAGTAGGACCCGCAGGCCCAGCAGCTCCGGGACCGGCAGCACCAGCACCCTCGACGGTCGAAGAAGCTCCAGCTCCAGCAGCACTCCTCCAGCGGCGAGCAAACCACTCGCGCAACTCCTGTGGAGAGAGGGGCTCCCGGCGAGACGCAACAGCAGGAGAAACCCCAGGCTCAGCAGCTCCAGACTCAGCACCCCCAGGCACAGCAGCTCCAGACGTAGCACCCCCAGGCTCAGCAGCTCCAGACTCAGCACCTCCAGGCTCAGTAGCTCCAGACTCAGCACCCCCAGACTCAGTAGCTCCAGCTCCAGTAGGACTCGCAGGCCCAGCAGCTCCGGGACTGGCAGCACCCTCAGCAGGCGAAGAAGCTCCAGCTCCAGCAGCACGCCTCCAGCGGCGAGCAAACCACTCGCGCAGCTCCTGTGGAGAGAGCGGCTCCCGCCCAGTAGTCGCAGGCTCCGCACCTCCAGGCTCAGCACCCCCAGGCTCAGCAGCTCCTGACGTAGCACCCCCCGACTCAGCACCCCCAGCAGCAGCACCCCCAAGCTCAGCACCCCCCGGCCTCGCACCCCCAGGCTCAGCACCCCCAGCAGCAGCACCCCCAAGCTCAGCACCCGCAGGCGTAGCACCCCCAGACTCTGCACCCGCAGCAGGACCAGACTCAGCAGCAACCTCGACTGGCTCGACTGTGTCTACCTGGGACACACCTGAAGGGGCAGGAACCTGAGGGGGGAGGGGGTCTACCGGGGGGGGAACTGGCACCAGGAAGTCCGGTGGGGGGGGGGAGGGAAGGAGTACGGTAGGGAAGA